AGTTGTCTACGGTGGACAATCCAAGGGAGAAAATCAACACACCTGAGTGCTACAAGTATTAAGAGTAATAGCGTTGACCAATCAGGGGACGGCCCAATCACAGGGTGAGAGTTTAATGGCGTGCATAACATAGTGTTTGGACAAGCGACCAGTGAATGGGGGAGGGGTGCGAGATATGTCCGGGCTGAACGTGTCCTGTTCGGCGAAGAGTAGGGTTGGAGATCCAAGGTCGTCGGTAGACGCACACGCACGGAACCAGTGCCGGTGATTAGCATGCACACAGACACACATACAACGCTAACAATGGGAATGTAAGGAGGTACACGTGAACGCTGGTCGATATCCATCAACGACCGGCCAAGCTGTGCAGACTAGACCACGAAGCGAAGAGTAGAAGAATTTCATGGGTAAATAAGTGCGTTACACTGCCTCCGAAATTCTTCTGCGATTGACGTCTCGTACGTCCCCGACTCCACTCTGGCTCTCGGTCCTACAACTGCCTACAGTAGCGCTCCTTAGAAAAACAGAAGGGAAAGCAACACAACCACACGAGAGCGTCTTGGCAGGAGCCGTTTTCCATGACTCTCACCAAGCGCCGTTCGTGGGCGTCTGTGGGCATCGAAGCGCTTGGGTGAAAGCCGTTTTCCATGACTACCACCCTGCACTCCAAGCCAGACTTAAGCGCTGCTATTCATCCCCCTCCAGGCGGCACACCCTTCTGACATCTCTTTTTACTATACCTGAGTTCGTTCTAATGTACACCGTCCTTACTAAACCGTCATTGCTGGCTTCACAACTCACGACTCGACCCAGCGGCCAACAACCCCTTGGTAGTTTCTCGGAAGCCACCAACACTAATTCGTCTTTTTCTACAGACTTGGTCGGAAGCTGCCACTTCTGTCGAGATTGTAATGTTGTTATGTATTCTTTTAACCATCTCTTCCAGAATCCCGTGGCTACGTGGGCTACTTGCTTCCAGCGCTTAGTATACCTGTCTCTGATGTCGATGTCTGGTAGCTGCAAGGTTTCGCATCGTATGAGAAGTAGGCTGTTCGGGGTTAATGGAGGAGCATCTTGGCTGTCGGAGGTGGGTGGAACTAGCGGGCGATTTTTTAGAATCCGTTCTACCTCGACGAATACAGTGGCTAGGGAGTCATCAGTAAGGCGTTGCTCGTTGCATACGCCGTACAATATTTTCCTTACAGAGCGGATAATTCTTTCCCACTTTCGCCCCTGTGACTTGCAAATGGTGGATTGAAATGCCATTGCACACCACGAAGGCATAGGTTCCTGTCGACCCGAAAGGACCGAACACAGTCACCGGAATCACCCCAAGTGCGACACAACGCGAGCCCGCGTCTGTGACTCCGCAACGAGTCTGATCTGTGGATACTGCGTGAGTTCACTTGGGGACTTCGCCCTCATGGAGCAGGCTGTGATGACGAGATTGGCAACCAGCGGCATTGCAGACTCGGCGAATGCCACAGTTTTGGCGATATGGCCCGGTCTTAAGCAACCGAAACAGAGGTTCTTGGTTTTTAACATTTCCCATCGTTGCGATATGTCCAGTTCTCTAAATATTCCACACTCCACGGCCAAGTGATTGTCCGAACAAACGGGGCAGGAGTGGGTGGGAAGGGCAGGCGACAGTTCTCTGACCAGCGTAATGGCTACTTATCGCCGGATACTCTTTCCTTGGAGGAGCTCTCGTAACAGTCGTTTCGACACCACGGTGTGATCGATCGGCTAACTGTCCGAACCGGCTGCGAGCTATGCGTGCCCGCGATGAATCAAATGTGGTTAAGTTCAGAAAACTGGGCTCATGACCACTAAGTGTTAGCTGATCGACGATTTTGGCCCATTTGTGCTGCAGAGGCTTCGTTAGGGCACGGACTATCTCTTCTAGGGTGGTGGAGGAGTCTACATCGGCCTCATAGTTCATTTGTTTCAATGTGATGTGGCAGTTCTCCATCTTAATGGCCAATTCCGACAGGGCATCTGCGTTGTTGGGAATGGACTTCGCGCCTTGAAGTAGGCCTTCTATCGATGCTCTAGCAATGTAGTGTGCTTGCCCGAAGAGGTCTCGAAGGATACATCGAGCTCTTTCATAACCCTGACCGGGCGGCAGCATTACGCAGTTGCCAATAGCCAGTCTTGCTCGTCCCTTACAGTAATGAATGAGGTAGAGCAGACGTCTTCCGTCATCTACCACCTTGCTCTCCACATAGAACTCAAACTGCTTGACGAACCTCCAGTAGTCAGCTGGGTGCCCATCGAAATAAGCCAGCTCTACTTTGGGGAGACCAGCTTCCGCAATAAGTGGGACGAGAGCGGACGCTATAGCGTTTCCCAACGTGGCAGTGGGGGGTCAATCGGCAAATCGTCATAACAACTGGCGGATGGTTGATTCGCAGCCGCCGCAGCACATTCCGTGACAAACTCGTCAACTCTGTTTGACGAATAAATAGGGAGTGCGGGTAGGTCTACATCGCCTTGTTCGTCTTCCAGCAAGGCGCTACGCTGGGCGAATTCGACCTCCTGTCTAGCCTTCAACAATCTACGCTGTTTGCTAAGTTCCTGCTCCCTAGATTCTAATTCTAGCTCCTCCTTGAGCTGCTTTTCTTTCAACTCAGCAAGCAGGAGCTGTGAGCGCGTACTGCTAACTGAATTTCTAGAGCTAACCCGAGAGCCAGAGTGAGAGACAACATCAAGAGGGACTTGCCTTGACTTGGATGAGTCCTTTGTCCGGGTGGATGCGCGGGTGACTGGCATTGCGAAGAGGAACCAATTTGGCACTTGCGGATACGAGTACCACCAAACCGAGGGATCCAATTAAGCAATCCGTCGAAGCGAGAACCGAATTGAATACTTCCGCCAAAAATTGAATACTGTAACTTCCACCGTGAACGTTGAATAACGCGTAGCCAAAGATCCCGAAATCAAAACAAGTTGGATCACAAATACTACGGTACTATTAAAATATATACAGTTGATAATTGGGACATACTTCAATTGTTCTGTATCCCGGTATATGCAAGTTGACAACACTGTGTCAGTAAACAATAGGAAACGATAGGGAACGAGTTGTCTACGGTGGACAATCCAAGGGAGAAAATCAACACACCTGAGTGCTACAAGTATTAAGAGTAATAGCGTTGACCAATCAGGGGACGGCCCAATCACAGGGTGAGAGTTTAATGGCGTGCATAACATAGTGTTTGGACAAACGACCAGTGAATGGGGGAGGGGTGCGAGATTTGTCCGGGCTGAACGCGTCCTGTTCGGCGAAGAGTAGGGTTGGAGATCCAAGGTCGTCGGTAGAGGCACACGCACGGAACCAGTGCCGGTGATTTGCATGCACACAGACACACATACAACGCTAACAATGGGAATGTAAGGAGGTACACGTGAACGCTGGTCGATATCCATCAACGACCGGCCAAGCTGTGCAGACTAGACCACGAAGCGAAGAGTAGAAGAATTTCATGGGTAAATAAGTGCGTTACAGTGCTGTTGATGCTTAATATAGCATAAATTATTAGTGGTACCGCTGTTAGATTGGGGCGGAATGAATATCTGGGCAGCATAATCAAATGCTTGAGGTCTTATGCAAAACATTGCGGGAAATTCTGTGTCAAAGTTTTGTCGGTGGAGCTTCTGATGTAGGTGGTTCATAAAAGAACATGAAAATTATCGCCACAAATATAAGTGAAAGAGTAGGATCAGGCAACGTATATAAGCGAGGTGAAGGGAGAATATGCAACGCTGTAATGCTCAAATCGAGTAAAAATAATTTGGGATAACTAGGTCAGCGTTGTGGTAAGCAAATAGGCGAACAACAGACACTAATACTTAAGATCCTACGCACAAAAGTGCGGAGCTACATTCCCAAACGTTAGTCGGTAGAGAGTCAGAGGTAGGTGGAGTTTAAGTGGAGTGTATGCCAGAGTCAAAGAGATAAGTATACTTAGACTATGAACAATGAATTTATACGGGTTAAGAAGCGTTGCTTTACAAGTCCCGTTGGATAGTTGCAGGGGATATCAACATAACAATAATGATGATAAGGATAGTAAAATAGCTAATACTTTAATTATGAAAATAGGGACTTATCGTTTGCTTCGCTGTAGTACTGCGATCCTCTTAGATTCACAGCACCCACAGTTAACAACAAATAATTCCATGGTAAACTCCAGGTGTAGGATGGAGACGTAGTGTTAAGTAACAAAGTGTAAGTGGATGAGTGCATCGTCCAACCGTCCTTTAAATACTGTTAGTATCGGTGCAGAGACGACCGATTCTGGGAGAGCATTCCACGGGTGACAGACACGAATGGAAAAGAAATTTCTGCGGCACTCCAGACAACCGTATTGTTCTGCGAGTTTTAATGAGTGGCCCCTCAGGTTTGTATTGCTGCTGAGTTGCAGTAAAGAGCGGCAAACATGATGTGGGTCTCGCAGAATCAAGTATGCCGTAATAAGGTCGCCTCGTAGTCTGCGATAGCTTCCACTGAACAATCCCAGTCGTCGCAGCCTCTCCTGGTAGGAAAGATTGCGCATTCCAATTACGTTCTTAGATGCCCGGCGTTGTGGGTGCTCCAGTGCATTAAGGTCGTGTTTCAGCCATGGATGCCAGGCTTGAATTGCATATTCGACATGGGGACGAACATACGCACTGAGCATTTGTCGAAATATGGAACTGTTTATTTGTCCAAACGCCCGCCTCAACAGCCCAACATGTTGGTTCCCGGTCTTCGAGGCCTTTTCGGATTGCCTGGAGCAACCCAAGTCATCTTGAACCAGGACACCCAAGTCACGTTCGAGAGTTGATTGTTGCAGTACATTCGTTCCGAGTCGGTATGAGTAGCTGCTTTGATGTCGGATGGAAAGCACCTTGCATTTACTGACCTTGAAATGCAATACGTTTTGCGGCGACCATTTATACACTGTATCTAAATCACGCTGGTGCACATGTTTGTCGGCGTTTGCCTGGATCCTGCGCTAGATCTTGATATCGTCGGCAAACATTAGGAAGTTTGAAGCGATTCTCTGTGCAAGGTCATTAATAAACACCATAAACAAACGTGGACCTAGAAATGAGCCTTGCGGCACACCACACTCGACTTGTATGGGATCCGATAAAGAGCTCCGAACTCTGACCACTAATTGCCGTTGAAATAGAAAGTTGGCGATCCAGCTTAAAAGAAGGTCTCCGATCCCGTAATGCTGCGGCTTGGATAGTAGTAGCCGATGGTCTAGACGATCGAAAGCCTTGGAAAAATCCAGGTAGATCACATCGACACCTTCTCCAGCGTTAGCTGCCCCGGTCCAACTACTGCGTGCAATTAGTAAATTAGTTGTACATGACCGCTGTCGACGGAAACCGTGCTGTTCAGGAGTGATGAGGTTGCAGTTTTCCAGATAACACACCAGTGCATCGGCAAACATGGATTCCATGACCTTGGAGAGTATAGGAAGAAGGGTTACTGGGCGGTAGTTGGAGGGATCAGTTCTGCTTCCACCTTTGTGAATCGGGCTTATTATTCCAAGCTTACACATGGCGGGAACTAGGTGCTGGTCTAAGCAGTGCTGAAAAAACTGAGCTGAAGTTCCTGTCAGTTGGTTTGCTGCTGCTCCCAATGCCTCAGGACGAATGGTGTCGACACCCGGCGAGCTGTGTTTGAGTAGAGAAGTCAGCTTTTGCAATACAGCCTCTGCGGTAAAATTGATATGGGTTAGTCCTGGCGAGCAGAATACAAAGCTTGGTAGATCTCTTGGTAGCAAGACTTCTGAAAATGTGGGGGCGTATTGCATCTGCAGCGCGTTTGCAGCTTCCATAGACGTTCTTGTTGGGCCATCAGCCGTCTTGAGTGGAGGAAATCCTTGCCTCAACTTTCGTAGGCTATTAACGTGCTTGTACAGCAGTTTGTGGTTAGCACTGAAGAAGTTTGCGATGTTCTGCTGATAGGCGGCTTTGTCTTCTCTTAACAGGTGAGGGCAGTGGTTACGTCGGGTTACGTATTTGTCCCAGGTTTCTGGTGCTGGAGCTTCTCTGTATACTCGCCATGCTACGTTGCGTAATGTCATCCATTTTCGAGTTCTGCTCCTAACGAAAGAAACTGATTTGCACTTATTGCAAGCTTTTATCTCTGAAACCTGTGCAACTAGCTGACTGAATGTGTTGACGAACTCGAGCCAGGCGACTTCCGGGGGTTCTTCTTCGAGGAAAGACCATATTGTGGCACTGACTAGCTAGGCCAGTCGGTCGTACCTTGTGATGGTTCGCACAGTCTCATCGTTATCATTCAGATATTCTGCATAACAGACGAAGCTAAAACTGATGACTGCGTGGTCACTGCGACCCAAATGGCAGTCTAAAACCAACGCATCAATCATATGCTCCTCGTTGGTAAGCACAAGATCCAGCACAGATGGCCTGTTACCAGTTCTGAACCGAGTGGGCAAAGTGATGTGGTTGTAAAGAGGGACAGTAGTTACTAGGTCTTGTAAATCGGTTTTGAATTGTTCTCCGATCGTGGCAGGGGCTTCTAAACAATGTACGTTGAAATCACCCATGCTAAGAATGTGAGTGTACTTTTGTTGTAAACTGCACCTTAAAGCAGTCGCTAGGTGGTAGTCGGTTTCGGGTGTCGAGTTATGGGCGCGGTACACCAAGACAATAAGGCAAGCGTCCCTGCCTTCTAACTGCAACAGGCACCAAAGAGAGTCGGGGAACTGCGAGTCTGAATCCTCCACGGCTTCGCACTGTAAGTAGTGTCGGTAAACAGGATTACCCCTTCTCCTTTTGTGAGCCTGTCGTTCCAGATCAGCGACATGCTGGGTACCGAAAATTCAGCGTCCGTCATTCCCGTGTGCAACCATGTCTCGGTGATACCAATGACATCATACGAGCCGGAAGCTTTGCGATCTTTCAGTTCAGCCAGTTTGTTAGAAAGACCCTGAGCATTTGTATACAAGCAGGCCAGTTTCTCTGTCTCTAGGAGCCCGCAGATAGGTGAAGCTGTCAAGTGTGGGAGAATGCCGACCGATGGGAGGTCGGCAGTTACTCGTTTTTTGATGGGTCAATGATACCTCGTTTGCAACTTGATTCGGCCAAGGTGCTTCCCAGCCTTCGTTTAGACCTACGTCAGAGGTAATTAAAGCAGCAGTCAAGTTACACTTCTGTACATTCGTCAGTATGCTTGCTGATTCAGTTGTCTTAATATTTGAACTGTGTAAATTGTTTGCGACCTTTAACCGAATTTCGGAAGGAAGATGTTTCCGATTTCTCCACCATCGGTCCAAAACATCCTTTGCATGTTGCTCTGACTGAACCACAAGTTTTAGAATTCTAGGGCCGCATCCTCTATAATTCGGTGAGTGAGGTATCCTGGTGAGCGATATTGCCATAACATTATCCAAAGAAAGTGTTCCGCGTATGAACCGTCACTGTTCTAAATCGTGCTTTCCGGTCTCTTGAACATCTTTAGAAGGATGTTCTGGAACGCCATGTATGAAGAGTGTGTTTAGGCGATCTTGCTTGCTGTGCCCCTCTGCAGTGTTTCGTTTTGGTTGTCGCGCGCTCCAAGGGACATCAGGATAGATACGTATCCCACAGGATTCGTGTTTTTGCGCGCTTGCGGAGAGCGAAACTTCATGTACGTCGGTGGAGGATTCTAGAGTTACTCGAGTAAGTCTGGGTTCACCATAGTGTGGCGAGTTCGGATGACGAGTGATTCGTAACATGTTTATGGGCTTGACTTTGATACTCATCTGCATACACAATGAGTTCCATTGGTCTTGGTCATCTGATAACTTATCCCGCAGTGTGATAGCGGTAGATTCAGGGACATTTGAGCATACAACAGTTCGGGCACTCTTGCTGGTTCCCTTTTTAATCGATCTACAAGTTATGGTACTCATTTGTTCTGAATTGTTGACAAGCGATTGTTTGCTGTTTTTCTCTCTATTTGCGTTAACGGTGTTTACAATGGAAGAGGACGCAACGGCGGCCTTTCGGTGGACCCTTGCAGCAATCTCTGCATATGTAACCGATGTTCTGGGAGCCTTAGTCTCGTCAAGAGATAATTGAGCTACAGGTACCAAGGGTTGGTGTTTGGCTGCTTCATCCTTGTTAATACTAGATGTCAGGTCTAGTGGAATTTGTTTTGAATGGTGCCTGATTTTCGTTGCTGTGAGTACTGTTAGATTCACGTAGGTACAGTCTGTTTTCGCTTGGCGTTCTACCAAATTTGGAGAAGACAACGGATATGGAGACAATGAACAATGAACAATGATTTATAACGGGTAAAAAAGCATATGCTTGACAGATCCCGTAGGGTGGTTGGAGCAATAGATAAAATGGAAGGATAATCGAACAAGTAAATCGTTTTTTAAGCCCCTACAGATTTCAACGCACCACTTCATAATGATAGTTTGAAGTATAGACTGGATGTCTGCACCCAAAGTATAGCTGTTATATTACATCAACTGTGGGAAAAAGAAATCAAAGGAACTCGTGTGTCGCTTCCGTTGAGAGATGTGGTACGTTACTCCAGTTTGTATACATCCATGTCGCTCATTGGGACACTTCTGTATGTAACATCACCGCCACTTTGCGGGGAGGGACAGTAACCTCATGGTTTGGGTCTCGTTATTTCGTCCTCCGAATAGGACGTGCTATGTCAAATAATGCAAGTTGGAAAGTGTGTCATCTAGGCGTTTTTTAAATAGTGCCAATGTGGGGGCAAGGACGACGTGAGTGGGGAGCGCATTCCAAGCACGGGACACATGGAGTGAGAAAGAGTTTCGTCGACAATCAAGTCGGCTGTTGTGTGTAGGTGCTTCTAGGTCGCGCGGATAAAAGGCCTGTAAAAAATTAGTATGGTGCAGTCCGAGAAGTGGTGAATGCTCCAGCCGGGCCAGTCACAAAAGGATGATCATCCGAATCGCAGCCGCTGAAAAGGCCCACTATATTGTCGTGGCACATAAAGTGTTGTACCTGCCTCTTGAAAGTCAACGAATTGTGAATCACTCGCAGTCGTGTGGGTACTTTGAGAAAATTATTTAAGTAAGTAACTAGAAAAGAATTGAATGTAGGTTCTTCCGCGCTGGTAGCGAAGCAATGGTGCAGCACTTGTTACAAAAATCTGATCTTCTCGGCGTCAAGTTAGTATGTCACATTGAACGACTTGTCGTATTACAATACGCCACAGAATAATGTCGCTGCGCAAAACTACATACTGGCAAGTCGACTAGACTCGTATTTCATCTTTTACCCGAAGAGTGCAAGAATATGATACCCTCCGTCTACACGCACCGTTTCATGCCCTTATAGTGCTTTCACCGTTTACACTACGCACGATTGAATTAAAATTATTGTTGTGATAACTGCCTGTAACCCTTGAGCATGCCTGATTTGGTGTGTCTATAAATTTAAGAATGGATTGTTTATTTATTTAGTTATACGTACGAATCCTAGGTTTAAGTTAATACGTCGCAACCACAGACGCTGGCGTTTGAGGTGATCACACCTCTGTAAGTAACTAAGCGGTAGATTTAGTGGTGTTGGCTTTTGGTAAACCGCCGCTGAGCCGTTTCGAACACTATGTAACCAGATAGTCAAAATTCTGCAGATGATGTTGCAATATTCTAGGTGTGTGCGCGATTGACTCCGGTGAAGTTCTAGTCGGGCCTCGACTGGGCTTAGGTGACGGATTATTAGGATGGTCAATTCTCAAGCACTTACAACTTGATATTTCACATTCTCTAAGTGTTTGAGGCTCACAGAATACTGTAAACCTAACTCTTTAACCAACCTATTGAGTTGGATAGGTGTGCCATTTCAGGCCAATGTGCTGTCTAGTATGGGGAATTTGTGGTTCAGGATGCTCGATTTATCAGAGGAAATATTCCCTTGCCACTGCAGACACCATGACTTTAACGACTTCAGATCGTGGCGCATTCCGCCAAAGTATGGAACTACCTGAACTTGGGAGACAGTCCTATATGATCGTCAGCAATGAGTAAGAAACAGCTATGTCGTAGGCTAGTACAGAAGTCATTCACATACATCGAAAACCGGGTTGGTCTAAGCAAGCTCTCTTGAGCGACGCCACTGGAAGCTGTGACGGGTATGGCTTCATTCTGCGCAATTTTCACAGCCAGTGTGCGCCCAGTTATGTAGGATTCCAGACAATCAAGCAACTTGCTGTCTAACACATAGTCTTCAATATTATGTGAAAGGTGAATATGAACAACCCAATAGAAATCCATTTGCCTCTCGAGGCATCGTGTAATTATTGCAAGAACTGAATTCATCTCACTGGTGCCAAGATTACGGACACCAAGCTGACAGGCTGCACGAGATCGAGCACTGCTGCGACTTGCTAACATGCTCTCCTGCATACAGGCTGTCCATGAGTACCCACTTAACCAATTTTTCCAGCACGAGTGAGCTAATGGATTTGTGGTTTATAGGTCGATATTTGTTGAGTTCCTGTACGTAGTCACCTTTGTGGAGCGGTGTGCTGACAGTTATTTCAACCCGGAGGGTATTTTCCCTTCTTCATAGTATGTGAACAGTTTTAAGAGAATATCGGACGGCCGTTGCCCTCGTACTTAATTAAGGTTCGGCGGCATTATCTTAGGGCCAATTATCGTAGATGATTTAATTGCTGAGATAGAGGAACGAATAACTGTTAGATAAAACTGAACCTTACAGAGCGAAGGGTAGTTGAATGCGTGTAGCCCTTCTGTGCATTGGGACTCTGTTCATGGAGTTAAATGCCACGCATATAAGGCGTGGGTCCACAATTGAGTCGTTGGGGCCACACGTATGGAGGAGCGCCTTTCCTCATAATACGGGGTGAGAGAATGCAGTAACCGAGTGAGTTGCTTGGCTTTGTTCACTCTAGTCATCGACAGTCTTCCCTGGGTAGTTTTGCTCAGTGTAGACCTGGCTGCTGGCTACCTCGCAGCCATGTTGGCTTGCAGAACGTATGCAAAGTTGAATGCCTTGTAGTAGAACCGTCGTCGTTGGCGCAACCGAGCATGCAACTTAGATTTCTTGATCCCTTTGCTCAGATTTTATTTAAAGAAGATAAAGGTGCCATGAGGTGCAAACGTATGTGTTGTTCAACGTAAAATATTGCGGTTGTTATCCCCTGGGAGTCGAACCGAAATATTTTGCCCTTGTTCCTTAATCTAACAAGCACGGCAAATGTAGACCAGTTTATGATGTGCAACGGGCGGGAATGCACAATGATATCTGTTCTAGTAAGACTGGTGGCAGGGCATTTTAAGCATAATGAGCCTTATACTACTCTGTGGTTACTGCCTGGGAATCCCTGGCCTACAGCTACCCTTAAGTTAGGTATACCTGGAGTAAATATTTAATCTAACAAATGATTTGATCTGGTCGGCATTGTAACATGTTGCACCCATCCTTCCAAGCTAAGTGTTTTCTATGCTTGTTTGGGTCGGTATGCAGAAGCACTTGCAAATGAGGCTGGTTGAACTCCCCAGCAATCAGCTTTCATGCACACCGCTTGCTCGATAGTGGCTCAAAAATAACG